AAAAAAAAAGAACTGCATCAGTTCCTTCCTGTTTTTGATACTTTCATGGCATTCATGAATGTCATCCATTTAGAGATACATTAAAGGATTTATGAGTAAAAGGGGATCATGTCTAAAAGTGACTCTCAAACAGTTTGCTAAAAAGCATGCGTGGGCAGAGGAGAAAGGATAAAGCAAATGTAGTAAAATGTCAACATTTGGGGAAACTTGGCAAAAAGAGTAAGAATTTTCTATACTGTTCTTACAACTTTCTTGTAAACCTGAAATTATTTCAAAGTAAGAAGGTAAAGAAAAATATAAACTGGTGTTTCCGTATATCTGATTCTCTCTTTGCTTCTTCCATTTTTCTTTCTTTCGCCTTTATTCTTTCTTCTGCTTAATATGGGCTCTAGGGTTCCTACCTGGAATGGAGCTCTAGCTGGTTCATTTTAAGAGTTCTCAGTTCCCAGATTTGTTAGCAGTATGAAGAAAGAAGCCAAAGAAATTAAAAGAGCACTGACAGCAGCCTGGCCCAATGCTCTGAAGAACCACCACACTTACATAATCCTAAATTCTGAGAACCTCTCAGTTGTACAGGATCAGAAACCAACTGGTTTTCTCTCCGAGCATCATAAAAACCTGAGACTTTATGGAGAAAACTTTAAAAGACAGGAAAATGTGTGTTGTTTCTTATAAATATTTTCATTCAAAATGAAAATCTAAAAATGTTAAGTAAACCCATGTGGGTGAACTGAAACCACAAGGCTGAATAATCAAAATTCTTATAGTGATATTATACCATGTCTCAACAGAAGTATTTTATTACCTTCTGGGGCTTCCAGGGTCTTCTTATTCTGCTCACACCAGCCAATGGGGTAGAGACCAGCTTTTCTAATGTCACACCAGAAGTCTGCTCTCCGATCCTCCCCGTAGCCATCATAGCGGAGGAGGAGCAACTGCTCACAGGTGGTAATGACAGTAGCAACCCAGTACGTTTCAGGATTTGTTCTCACAGCAACCTCCAATTTCATCCCAGGAGCAAATCCGTTTTGTAAACGGATGTCCACCTAAACAGGGAAAATGTTATTAGGCACTGGAGAAGTAGCAGAGGTATTTCTCTGCCTAGCACTGGTTGGCGGAGGGGCAGCAATGCAGTTTCAGGAATTCACGCTAGGGCCTTGTCACACTAGACAAGTACTCTATTACTGAGATAAATCCCCAGTCTATGTTATTCTGAGACAAAATCTCACTAATTTACCCAGGCTAGCCTTGAAAGTGCAATCCTTCTGCCTTGGCCTCCCAAGTATCTGAGATTAGAGACATTTATGTGTTGCCATGCCTGGCTCAGAACTTTTTAATACTTAAATTCTGAAGCACTAAATGCAATAAAAGCCTGAGAAATTCCATTCTAACTCTAGGATTAATCCAAGCAAATCACAGAAGTAACAATAATCCTTCATCTGACAAATAAAGGAAATCAGTATTTTTACCAAAGCAGTCTATTAAGATTATAGAAATCGCTATTAACTACGTATATTGCTAAATTTTAACAGCCTTGAACATAGTGTTTTCAAGAGTGATTTCTAGATAACTCATCAGAAAATTTATGGAAACTAGAACAGAGAAAGGTCAAATATAACCCAATGACAATAAATTAGTATAATATGTACTATATGTGGGGAGCTGTACCTCACATTGTCCCCAAAATGGTCTATGTTTCTACCAGTTATTCTTTAATAGTAATGCTCCTCTCTTTTCTCTCAAAACTGTTCTACCTCAAACACAGTATTATATGGTGACAGAGACAGGAAACAGCAATTCGGGGACTACCTTATGCATGTATACCACTTTAATTTCTTCTTTTGGGAAATGCCTGTTACATGGCCAATTTTCTTTCATTGTTTATATTTTCAATACCAGATCTATGAAAGCTATTTGTGTCTCAAGTATCTTTTCATTTTCATGATAATGTCATTTGATGAATAGAATTATTTTTTTATTTTTTTTCAAAGTTTTATTGATAAACAGATAGCAATGAGACAGTTTCAAATCAAATCGGAAGTACAGTTTCAACAAATAATACACTGCATAT